GAGTGGTGTTTCAATAACTGCCTCGACTAATGACTGGCATATTGATTGGACTTCTGACTCGACTAAGGATTGGAGTAATGTTGGAATAAAGATTGGACGACGAACTAATAGGGCCAGTGATTGTGTTTATAGCAGATGATGTACACACACACATACGCACACACAGAACAAACACACACACACACACACACACACACACACACACACACACCATCACCATCATCACACACCATCACCACACACCATTACCACACACCATCACCACCACCACCACCACCACACACACAATCACCTGCATCACCACCACACACACCATCACCATACACCATCATCACCATCACCACCATACACCACCACACACACCATCATCACACACCATCACCACCACACACCATCACCATCATCACACACCACAACACACCCTCACCACACACCATCACCATCATCACACCACCACACACATCACCATCATCACACACCACCACACACACCATCATCACACACCACAACACACCATCACCATCATCACACACCACAACACACCATCACCACAAACCATCACCATCATCACACACCACCACACACCATCATCACACACCACCACACACCATCATCACACACCATCACCACAACACACCATCACCATCATCACACACCACAACACACCATCACCACAAACCATCACCATCATCACACACCACCACACACCATCATCACACACCACCACACACCATCATCACACACCATCACCACCACACACCACCGCCACGCTTACCTCGGATGTGAATTGCATTACGCGTGATGGACAGGAAAAGGCCGCTTTGAAGTCTTCACCATTGAGAGGAAACCTGTCTTACTTGGGACGGACGGAATAGGACGGGGCAGGCAGTAATAGGGCGGAATAGGACGGGACAGGCAGTAATAGGACGTAATAGGATGGGACAGGCAATAATAGGATGGGACATGATGTAACAGGACGGAATAGGGGGAAGCAGGATGTAATAGAATGGTGAAGGACGGAATAGAGGAGAACAGAGCGGAATAGGAGGACGGAACAGAATGGAACGGCACCTTGAGCTAGCATTCACCCCGTCACATAATGTATTAAGTGGTGTTCCGCAAGGCAATGAGGAACCACGATTGTTTATTAATGCTCCTTCCCTGTTTTATTCTGTTGATTTCTGTTGTGTCTGTTGCTTCTGTTGACTGTTAGATCTTACTAAATATTAAAAGAGTAATATACGTTTTATCTATATCATTGCTTCTCTCTACTCGATTCATTTTCAGTAACTTTTGTATATTTCATAAGACTTTGCCAATAATGATCAAAGTTTATATTATTCCTCAATATAAAAATTACAGAGACATATATTATTATCCTATAAATAAGTTTAAGAGTAATTACCTATAAAAGAAAGCGCTAATCACCTCATGAATTAACTTTTATAAGGAATTTACTCCCAGCTACAAAAAAAAACATAACCTGCTCGATGGCAATATTCACCAAGTCGAAAATTCAGTTCAATGACTAAACGATACATAAATCCTCTTCTAATAGTATTTTTTGTAGTTTAAAGCAAAAATATGATAAGAGTTTTAAAGAGACAAAAATGAATTCTTCCCAATATTGCATTATTTAACGCACTAGTTCTCCTGTATTGTCTTCGAACCTGTTATTGATTATCGAACATCTGGTGGCCGGGTAAATGGGGGGTGGGGGATGGAGCCTCCGCCACTCGTCGTCATTGTCTGAGTTGTCGTTCTTGTCTGGAAACTCAATTAGGGTCAACAATAATTATGGTGACAATGATTATGTCAATAATTTCTATATGTACACGAATTATATACTCTACTACTACTACTACAACAACTTTTTTACTACAACTACTACTACTTTTTACTACTATTGCTACTACTACTAATTTTTTACGACTACTACTACTAAGAATAAATATTAATACTGTACAAGAATAAAACTTGATCATGTAAAACGAGAGAGAGAGATTACCCCGGAAGCAAAGGTCATCACACTGACGTCATATGAAGATCTCTCGCCCGTATTGGAGATAAGTGCTGAGAGATCCCCAACTGTCTCGTTAAGTGATCGTCTCAGAATACACTCAAGCATAACCTGTCCCTAAAGCGCCATTATTATTATTATTATTATTATTATTATTATTATTATTATTATTATTATTATTATTATTATTATTATTATTATTATTATTTCCTATTGTTATTTCCTACTGTTATTTTTCATCCGACAAAAGAGATATATAAAAAATAGAATAATTATACCGTCTGTCTGTCCATTTATCTGTCTGTCTGTCTGCCTGCCCGTCCGTCTCTAGACAACCTGTTTCCGATCTGCATAATTAACCTATCACTGAACCTCATGACCGCTACCTCCCCCCACCTCTCCCCCTCTCCCTCATGTCTCCCCCCAGTCCAGAGAGAGAGAGAGAGAGAGAGAGAGAGAGAGAGAGAGAGATTATTGATTTTCTTGTTGATGGACCAGAGGTGAGGTTCAATGTTGCTCAAAATAGAATTAATTTGTTTATACTTTGCTCTAATGTGTCATGAATTGTCAAATGGCCAAGCTTTTAAAGAGGTCAAGCTTTAAAAGTCATGAAGGTAAGCTTTAAAAGGTCATGAGATCAAGCTTTTAGAGGTCACGATGTCAAGCTTTTATGGTCACGAGGTCAAGCTTTTAAGGTCACGAGGTCAAGCTTTTAAGGTCACGAGGTCAAGCTTTTAAGGTCACGAGGTCAAGCTTTTAGAGGTCACTGTAGACCGAAATAGAGGTATAGACTTGACCTTATTATCCAGTCAATTGGAAAAATTGAAGGATATTTTGGTCTTGGCTTGTCCTTTAATCTTTCCTTCATTTCTTCCTTCTTTCCTACCTTCCGTTTGCTTGTTTGTTTGTTTGTTTCTTTCTTTCAACTTTCTTAACGCTTCTTCGCTTCCTCTTCTCTTCTTTCTTTTTTCTTCCTTCATTCCTTCCTTCATCCAGTCCTTATTTCCTTCCTTCCTTCCTTCATCCATTTCTTATTTCCTTCCTTCCTTCATTCCTTTTTTTCTTCTTTGCTTCTTTTCTTCCTTTTTTCTTTTCTTCCTCCCCTCTTTATTTTCGTTCCTCCTTCCTTCAGTCCTTCCTTCAGTCCTTCCTTCAGCCCGTTGATGGATGGGTTTACGGACCATTAAGTAAAGATATATCGGAAGGAGACTTAAATATTTGTGTTAAAGGAAGCGTAGTGAGACAGACAGACAGACAGACAGACAGACAGACAGACAGACAGATAGACAGACAGAGAGACAGACAGACAGACAGACAGACAGACAGACAGACAGACAGATGAAGACGAACCAGACAGACGAAGACAGACAACGACAGACGAATGGGGAACAGACAAGACAGACAGATGAAAGACAGACCTGAACAGACATGAATAGAAGACAGACAGACAGACAGACAGACAACCAGACAGATAGAGACAGACAGGCAATAGACAGATAGAGAGACAGACAGACAGACAGATAGAGACAGACAGACAGACAGACAGACAGACAGACAACAGACAGACAGACAGACAGACAGACAGATAGAGAGACATATTTCGACAACACACAAATAGTTGTAGTGTAAATATAAAACAAACTGACAGACACAGAAATAGACAGACACATATAGACACTTATGACAGACCGTAACAGAGAGTCAGAAGGGCACTGAGGATTTATTAGCGAAAACATTGGTCATTACTCCACCATTCTCTCTCTCTCTCTTTTTCCTCAGTTCTCTCTCTCTCTCTCTCTCTCTCTCTCTCTCTTTTCTCTCTCTCTCATCATTGTTCCTTGTTCTTCCCCTCGCCACTATCCACCTTCTTCATTCTCTCATAGTTACTCTTTATTGTCTATTTGCTGTGATGTGGGGGAGGTGTGTGTGTGTGTGTGTGTGTGTGTGTGTGTGTGTGTGTGTGTGTGTGTGTGTGTGTGTGTGTGTGTGTGTGTGTGTGTGTGTGTGTGTGTGTGTGTGTGTGTGTGTGTGTGTGATTCTCTCTCTCTCTCTCTCAGGGATAACCCAAGAACCTTTTGTGGGAGTGAATAATTTGCTCCCACATATCACTCTCCCAGCAGTGAGAGGTAGAGGTAGAGGTAGGGGAGGGAGAGGGGCCTTAAGGAGGTCAATGAAAGAGAGGGATGAGAGAGAAACAAAAGTAGAGAAAGAGAGAGAGAGAAACACACACACACACACACACACACACACACACACACATACACACACAGTTAACCAATACGAATATTTTTTTGTTAATTATTATCAATTAGTAAAAAGAAAATGGTCAAATTAAATGACTGCGCCTCGACAGTGAAATTATTTGCTTCGGTAAATGGTCAAGTCAGTATGGGCGGAAAAATTGTTAAAAGGCAATTAATTTTATCTCTTGAGTTGATTGTGTTAATTAAAAAAAATTTCCATGATTTTTTTATGGAAATGACAAGAAATAAGACGATAATAATAATAATAATAATAATAATAATAATAATAATAATAATAATAATAATAATAATAATAATGATAATCTTTACAACTTATTGGAATTATTAGATGACTGTGATAATTCTAGACATTATTGACTTTTTTTTTAACTAAAACTTACACACACACACACACACACACACACACACACACACACACACACACACACACACACACACACACACACACACACACACCTTCGCTGACATCAATTACTGTACAATACTATTACCGTTTGGTTGACTAAAGTATGTATAGATGTATGTAGTAGTTTTTAGTAGTCTAGGCTACTTTGTTTATGGTGTGGGGTAGTCTGTGTGTTATTCCGGGCTATTGTTTCGGGTTATTTTTTTCTAACTGCTAGCTACTATTTCTTATGGGTGCCAAAATTCCAGGGCTATTTCTTGTCACCGGGATATCATGTTGTTCTTGAGGTCATAGGCTATTACTGTTCCAGGGCTACCAATGGCCCCCAGACTACCAATGGCCCCAGTCTACCAATGGCTCCAGGCTACCAATGGCCCCAGGCTACCAATGGCCCCAGTCTACCAATGGCCCCAGGCTACCAATGGCCCCAGGCTACCAATGGCCCCAGGCTACCAATGGCCCCAGGCTACCAATGGCCCCAGGCTGCCAATGACTGAGCTGCCAATATTTGAGCTGCCAATGACTGAGCTACCAATGGCCCCCAGGCTACCAATGGCCCCAGGCTGCCAATGGCCCCAGGCTACCAATGGCCCCAGGCTACCAATGACCCCAGGCTATGCCAATGGCCCCAGAGCTACCAGTAACTGTATTTTAACACCCATATACAGTGGGACGTCTCTGGCGAAGGCCACAACCAGCAGGTTCCTCCTTCGCTTTCCAACCTCCTCCTCCTCCTCCTCCTCTTTCTCTTCTCCTCCTCTTCTTCTCCTTCTCTTTCTTGCCTTCTCTCCTTCTCCTCCTTGTATTCCTTTCCTTCCACATTTATTTTATATTCCTTCATTCTTCCTTCTTCCTTTTTCTTCCTTCTCTCTCTCTCTTTCTTCTATCCCAGTGGTTCTCAACCTTGTTTGCCCCATGCACCCCTTTCACCATATGTCAGAATGTCATTCCCCCCTCCTTTCCAAGATTGTCTGCCTCAAAAAGTGCATTCCAAATAATATGCATATAATACTGAAAATCCTTTATTTTTTCCATATTAGTACAGATACATTTAAAATTTTACATGGATTATTTTTATAGTGGAGTTTTACATATTAAATGCCAATTGAAAATGTTGATGGATTTATAAAACTTGAATAAAAGTAAAATAGTTTTTTTTTTATTTATAATGAATTACTTAACAGACCAAACTGAAGCATAATGCAATAAACAAAAAGTTCAATAGAATACCAGGATATTGTAAATTTGTAATTAATTTTATTCAGATGAAAATTACAGTCAATGAGAAACCTGTGATTGTTTTTTCTTCGCCAATTCTGGGATACGCGGAGGAGTGCTTGAAAGGGCACAGCGCAGGTCATTTTCTACCTCTAATCTACTACGTTGCTTCGTTTTAATTTGCAACAGAGTTGAAAAGCCTGACTCACAAAGATATGTCGACACAAACGGAAGCAATGCACGGATAGCTCTTTCTGCCACTTTTGGGTAGGAATCGCACATCAAGGCCAAAATTCTGTGACTGATTTCTCATCGAACATATCTCTTGCTCCCGAATCAGTTCCCCCCCCCCCTGAAAACCTGAATTCCCCCCTGGTTGAGAACCCCTGTTCTATCCTCTTCCTGCTTCATCTTTGTCATTCTTCTATTCACGTCTTTCTTCCACTTCTACTTCCTTCTTTCTTCTTCTATCTTTCATTATTGTCTCTGTTTTGAGTCACTATACCCTGAGGGCAGAACCTTAGCCTGAATTACTGCATTTGAGTCCACTGGTCAGTCAGTACACTCTCTCTCTCTCTCTCTCTCTCTCTCTCTCTCTCTCTTCGGTATCTAATGTAATAATAAAAGTAAATCTCAACATCCTTCCACTCCCTCCCTCCTCCGTCCCCTCACTCCCTCTCCCTCCATCCACCCTCCCTCATCCACTCCCCTCCTGAAGACTTTGGTTGTGGTAAAACTTTTTTAATAATGATTTATATGACTAATTAATAAGAGCTTCCAAGACCACCTTCTGCCTGTCTGGGATAATAGAGAGAGAGTAATCATCATATGTATGTCTAATGACGTTGAGGTGTAGTGAAATGTGGGTTTAGTTGACCGTAGAATTATATATCATGAACGGCCAATAGACCATGGTCGGGCCAGGTAGGTGATCAGCTTAATACCCAACTCCTTCACGACGTCTTTATAAGGTGCTGCCGACCTCGTGACGTGGAGGTAGGGAAGGAGGGAGGGAGAGGGGGGGAAATTAGAGAGGAGGAAAGGAGAGAAAGAGAGTGGAAGGAGGAATACTGAAAGAGAGAGAGAGTTTCTCCCTCCCTTCCTTTCATTTTTCCTTCCGCCCTCTTTCCCTCCTCCCTCCCTCCCTCCATCCCTCCCTCTCCTCCTACCTTCATTGCTCGAGGGGGAACATGGCGGTAATTTCACGGGGAGATTTACCTAATGAGTTGCTGTGTAGCCTACAGTCATAACGATGATGAGCCGCCATCTTGTTTCGAGTCGGAACGTTTAGTAACTAAGCCAGATGTTGAAACGTACATGTGTGTGTGTGTGTACGTGTGTGCGCGTGTGTGTGTATGCGCGAGAGGGAGGTTGGCGGGTGTGTATTTGATTGTCTCTCTCTCTCTCTCTCTCTCTCTCTCTCTCTCTCTCTCTCTCTCTCTCGCTATTGGTCCGTGAAGCAGCTGTTCCCGACCACCGCCTTTGATGACACAGAGACCTGGAGAGACACACAGAGATAAGAGACTCCCGAGAGGTATTGAGATGACCTAGAGACCCTTGAGACACACTGAGACAACCCCAGAGACTCCGGAGAGATATTGAGACCACCCCAGAGAGACCCCCTGGCAGACAATGAGACGACCTAAAGCCCCCTTTGAGAGACTCTAAGACTACCCCTGAGACGACCCTAACTACCCCAGAGACCCCTGAGACGACCCTAACGACCCCAGAGACCCTGAGACGACCCTAACGACCCCCAAGACCCTAGGACAACCCTATGACCCAGAGAGACAGTGAAAGACTAGCAGGGTGGAGATGGAGTCTGCCATAAGCGTCCCAGGTTTGTCATTAGTTAAGAGTTTTACCAGAACAGAGTGAAGAGAGAGAGTGAAGAGTTGGAGTGGTCGAGGGTCATTAGTGAGGGGTGAAGAGGGTTGTTTATTTTGTTTTGGGGTCTTGTTTTTATTTGTTGGGGGTCTTTTGGGTGTTTGATCTTCTGTTTTGGGTCATGTTTTTATGTTTGTTTGTTTCTTTGTGGGTCTACTGTTTGCTTGTTTGTTGGTTTTTGTGTGTTTGTTCTGTTTTTTAATGAGTTGTGTTTTTTGGTTGTTTGTGGGTTTAGTGTTTGTTTGTTTGGGTCTATCTTCTTGTTTGTTTAGGGTCTAGTGTTTGTTTGTTCGGATCCATAGCTATTTTTCCGCCTTTTCTGACCTGATGTAAATGTTCTTTGTACCATGAGGGAATTATTTTGATGTCTCTTAACGCATCTAGTAACGAGTTATTAGTCATTATTGTTTATTGTTTATAATATATTGTTTAGGTTGAGGTGCAACACTCTTGTTTACTTCTATGACGTCATAAATTATACGTATTTCGTGTTGTGTGACGTCACTGGTAATGTTGTTCTCATTATACTAATTATCCTGCAATTACACTCCAATATATGACGTCACTAACCATTACACACCAATATATGACGTCATTATAACCATTTCCACTAATATATAACGTCGCAAAACATCCTATCCCAATCATGTGACATCGTTGATTACATTCATTCTGGCTCTCTCTACATGACATCAAGAGCCGAAACCCTGTAGCCAGCTTTGAGGCAGCTATCAGGCCAGACCAGACCCTCAGTGTGTAGCTGGGTCGACTCACTACCTGTCAGGGCAGAAGACTCCCTCTTCTACCGCCGGATATAAATTCCTTGACTTACTGAAGCAAAAACCAAAGTTGAGATTTGTGGCGGCGACTCAACCCCCCCCCCCCCCCCCCCCCCCCCCCCCCCCCCTCTCTCTCTCTCTCTCTCTTATCCTCCCCTCCTCTCTCTTCCCTCCAATCCTTTCCTTCCTTTTCTCCACTCTCCTTTCATCTCCCCTCTCATCCCTTCCATCCTTTTCTCTTTTCTCTATCCTCCCTCTCTTCCACTCTTCTCCTCCTCTCATCTCTCTCCCCCTCCCTCCTTCCCACTCTCCCTCTCCCCTGTCCTGCTTTTGACTGTGGTAGTGGTGGTGATGATAGTGTATTTCTGTGGAAACTGTGGTATGGTGTTGATGGTGGGGATGGTGGTTGTTGTGGTGAAGACGGTGGTGGTATGGTGATGGTGGTGTGGTGATGGTGATGAATGTCTTACATTTGCAGGTAACATCAGGTGAGACATGTAATCATACTTTAATTAACATCACGGCAGTCATTATGGGACAGGTAAATTAGATTCTTCTTCAGATGCCCAAATGCCCTGACCATTGATCAATCACGTGTAGGGCATTATGAAAAGCCCCGCCCCCCAAAAAAAAAAAAAATGCCTAGAGCCCTTGTATGCAGGATTTGAAGGAAATTTGGCTCCAACACCCAACCCTGAAGTAAGGAATGGGGAAAACGTGGTCTTGAAAGCATGGAAACGTTCCCATCTGACCTTCATGGTACGGACAACATGACTCTGGAATGGTGCCAACCTCTTTCCCAGGGTAATACATTGGCACTGTGTCCTTGAGTAGGTTCCTGAGGCACTCCTGGAATGAATTACGAACACTGTTTTGGTTTGGTGCCTTTTTGTGTGTGTGTGTGTGTGTGTTCTCTTGCTTTTTTTTTCTTTTTCCTTTCTTTTCTTTTTCTTTCTTTTTTTCTTCTTTTATTTATTTTCTCTCTCTCCAAGAAGAGAGAGAGAGAGAGACGATGTCGTAAAGCGGGATAGGTTAGGCAATATTTGTAGCTGGAAAAGAAAGTGTCTCGATTGGGGAAAGAATGTACCTCATTATGGGAGAGAAGGTACCTTGATATGGGAGAGAAGGTACCTTGATATGGGAGAGAAGGTACCCTGATATGGGAGAGAAGGTACCTTGATATGGGAGAGAAGGTACCTCGATATGGGAGAGAAGGTACCTTGATATGGGAGAGAAGGTACCTCATTATATAAAAGGCAATATTTAGAAATAGAAAAGAAAGTTGATATTTTAGTCAGAAGAAAAGTAAAGGACTTTCACCTGGGGATAGTTGCGACCACGACACAAGAGGGAAGAATTAGAGCTTTGGAAAGTTAATATTTTGGCCTAGAGAAAGGTAAGAGACTTTTACCTGGGGAAAGTTAGGGTCAGGACAGATAAAGTGATACCAGAGACAAGGGGTGGGGCGAGAACGAAGGTCAGGGAAAGAACTGCTATCAGGGATATTTATGTTACGACGCGGGGGAATAAAACAGGGAATTTCTGGAACTGGAGGAGGTGTAGAGGGGAAATTTCTTAATTCTGAGGGAAATTTGGGGAGAATTTAAGAATAT